GACACCAACATACGACGATTCGAGGATACGAACGGCTCAGTTACCACAATTTCAAGGACTGCTTTGACGTGGTCACGTGGCACAAGAGAACAAGCTTAATTACTTCTACTACTGTTTTTCATCCGATTGTTTCATATTTACGGCTTGCAAGTGCTTTTCATGACAATACTGACTTATGAATTACTGTCATGTGCCCTGCAATTGACATGTAAGTAACCCAATCCTGCGTGTGACCAACTTTCAAAATTATTTGGGATAGACTCCACGCATGCATGCTAGAGGTTAATTGAAAGCTCTAAATTGTTCTAAGGAGTGATTGTGAATGCTTGTTTGTGACCCTACTGAGGATAAAAGGATTATAAAATGGATGGATGGAATGCACTCTCTAGTGTTTGCGGTGAAGGTGGAAGTCACGGTCAAAATGAATGAAACACTGGAAAAAGTTTGTAATTTTTTTAAGCAAAAGAACAAAAAAGGATTTGGTTTATGTAGAAACAAACAAATGTTTGGCAAATGTATAGTTCCCTCCCCTGCAAAGAGTTAAAGCTTTAAAAAAAATACCCTGCACCCACATTCTGCAGAATAAGGAAAACTGGTGACCGCTCTCTCTCTCTCTCACACGCACACACACGCACGCACACACACACACACTCTTGCACTCAGCGCGTGCACACACAATATATATATGTATATGTGTTTGTGTATATGTGTATTCTGACATTTTGTATATATTAACTTGTGTTAAGGTTCAGTATTTGCCACAACACAGCATTTAGGTGCGTGACTGCTCTTTTTTTTTCTCTCCCAAAATCCCATGACCGGTAAATAAATCAAAGGAGTCAAAGCAAAAATGAACAAACGTAAGGGGAGAGAAAAACCAAAATGGAACCAAAGCAACAAACATAAGTCCTGCACAACGGCCATCGAGCTGTACAGCGCAGTGAAAACATAACTTACATATTAGCGCTTTTTTTTCCTCCTTTTTTTTTTGACACGTACAGTCGTGATCAAGGCACAAGGATCTTCTACAAGTCATTTTTCTTCATCATCGTCATTGTCTTCTTCAATATAGTTGTACAAAATACATTTTACAGTCTGTACAGGAATAATAGTCCGGCAGTAACATAAAAACGTGAAGCCAGGGGCGGGCGTTGGTAAGGTAGGGGGAATGAGTGAATGAAGGCAGGAGGTGTGGGTGGGGCTGTCCTTTTTTTATTTGTGTACACACACACACACACACACACACACGCACACGCACGCGCGCACACACACACACACACACCAACTGTGTATATTTATCTTGGACTTTTTTTTTTTTATTCTGATTTGCTTCTGTCCTTCCTCCATGAAAATTGTGGAGTCCCATCAGTCCACCCCCATGCAACCCACCTCCACCCTCACAGCCCAAAATGCTCAGTTTCTCTCATCTTATCCAGCTCTTGATTGTTACTCAGCACACAGCGAATAAAACTCAAACTGACTATTGGATTGGGCCTTTCGGAGACATTAAAACTGTAGTGTTTTGTGGATGTGTCCTTGGGTCCCTATGTCTTCTTCCTGAATTACGGTTGCCAACTGGGCTCATGGTCCTGGGCGGGGATTAGGGAGCAAAGGAATCCAAAAGGCAGGGAGTGGGAGACAGTGAGCGGGTGGTCTTGTGGGAGTCGTCAACATCACAAGAGCTCGTACTGCCGTAGGTGCATCCTCTGGATGATGTCGCGACAGTCGCTGAAGACGCGCCGGATGTTTTCAGTGTCTACGGCGCAGGTGAAGTGGGGGTAACAGTAATGGCGTCCGTCCCCGCTGGCTGTGCTGATCCTCTGTGGGCAGGGAAAAGTGGTTAAAGAAACACTCGGTGTCAATTGTGCAAATTTAGGACACTTTATTACATTTCCCCGCAATGAGCCATCACCTTATTGTGGTGTCCCAATGACCCAATGAGTACAGTTGTCTGGGGCTTTAGGCCCCTGGCAAGAGTCTTAAAAAGGTCCTTGGTGAGTAACCAGACAAAGTACACTTCACACAACACCTATGATGTTTGGCAAAAATGTACATAGTTTTTCCGAGCCTGGACGCGGGTGACCGAGGCCCCCCTGTGTAGAGAGGTCTGGAGGTGAGGCTCGCTGGCAAGGGCCTGATGGACAGGCCTGCACCCATGGGGCCCGGCTGGGTTCAGCCTGAAAGGACAATGTGGGTCACTCTTCCCATGGGCTCACCACCTCTGGGAGGGGCCAAACGCGGGCCGTACACTGTAATGTCTGACCAAACCACTGTCACTGTTGCTCTACCTTCTAATGCATTGCCATATTACCTCAAGGATTCTGTTCCCCGTTAAAACAGCATTTCACTCTCTCTTGAGTATAGTTTCAGGACTCCTGTTAATGACAACTGGTCATGAACTCTGACTCTGGTTCAGTTAAACTCTCCTGGCTGTCAGTGGACCGGCTTTGTTTAAGCGACAGACCAGAGCTGTGGCCGTAATGTGGACCGTTTCTGTCGTGGCAGCAACCCTCGAACCCGTTGGTGAACACCAGCGGTGAGGGATGCCATCGGGCTGAAGGAAGAGTCCTATTGCTCTTTTTTGGCCTGTGGGACTCTGGAGGCAGCTGATGGGGGTACCGGCTGGCCAAACAAAACACAGGTAGGAGTTCGGTGAGGCCACGGAGAACGACTGAGATGGCTTTGAGACAATTCTAGTCCACCATCTGGCATCTCAGGAGGCGGAAGCAGTGCACCATCAACACGGTGTATAGTGAGGATGGGGTACTGCTAATCTTGACTCAAGACTCAAGGACTTTTTATGAAACCAATCAGATTCAAAATTTCATGTCAGTTTATTCTTTATCCTCTAATTGTTTGGTCGCAGCAGAACCTGTTCCAGTCAAGCAAAATGTGTGTTGCAATCTGCACACATACATTTAATAACTATCATCTTAGGTGAGTAGATTTAGATTTGTTATCCTTTTGTCACGTTATTTGATAAAAATGAATTCTAAACTACTCCAAGTAATGGATGTGACATAAATGAATTCTATTATATTGTGTTTATCGACATGATTGATAGTTTCTATAATTACAATTTAATAGAGGTGGTATTAAGCCCCTCTGAATGCCTAGGAACCAAATGCCAAGAATGTGGAAAAGTGAAGTACTGTGAATACTTTTCAGATGCACTATACTTCTTGATCATGGTTCTTTTTGACAAAAGCACACCACGGATATGCTATTAAAAGACCTGAGAATTTTCATAAAGTGTGGAAAAATGCATGCGCCCTTTAAATAAGATCAGTCCAATTTTACATCATATCAGAAGATGGTAGCGTCTTGCTGTACTGTTAAGTCACCTTCCATCAGAAGGTTATGAAGAGAGCACAAATGCATGAGTTTCATAACAACGCTAATGCATTGAAATGTGTCAAAAATCTTATTCCGTCTGACCAGATAACAGTAAATTCAAACAAAAAAAGCGTTGGCAGGTGGAAGACAATGAAGGTGAGTGAAGCTACTTCCAACAGGTAAAACCTGAAGTGTGAACATACCAGAAACTCATCCCGTATGAAGTATTTTGCCCTCGTGACGCGTGGATCTTCGCCCGGCTCGGGTACTGCTGTTGGACAATAAAGCCACAATCATTCGTGTTAGCTGAACACTGTCCACACCAGTCTTATTTAACAGGCTTATTGGTGAGTTTACTTTACCAAAGGGAAATCGTTTTAAATCAAACGACTGTTACTACGCAACACAATGCAGGATCCTGAAGATTTGGAAGACAGATTCATCTTGCCTGTACTCTTATTTGTGGAATACATTAATTCACCTTATTTTTTACAGAAGAACTTATTTAAAAAGCATTAATCCATTTTTCCTAATCTGTATGGATCGTGTTCGACTTTAGATGTTTCACTGTAAATTATACTTGGCTCTAAAGAAGAAAACCCCAATTGTTCCATATCGCCGCATTTTTGCATTCAACTCTATTTAGTTTTATGAACAATGTTCTAACTGTCTCTTACCATCGTCAGGTGTCGTGTAGCGTGCAAATTCAGGAAAATAGTCCTCAATTTTGGACTTCCCTGCCAAGACCTTCTCTGCGAGGAGGTCCTGTTTGTTCAGGAAGAGAATGACGGAGATGGTCCGTAGCCACCTGCCGAGAGAGGGAAACAGCAAACAACATGATTTTTGTTTTGTTTTTTTTAAATCAAAGACTTCATAAAGTACAGTTGGGTCAACTTATGCAATGTAAAGTATCAAGACCTGTTGTTCCAAATATTCTTGAAAAGATTGAGGGCCTCCTGTAGTCTGTTGGTCTGATTGTCCTCTCTGATCACCATGTTGTAGCTGCTACTCGCCACCACAAAAATGATAGCCGTCACGTCTGGAACCAGAAAAATAAAACAAATAGATCACAAACCCAGCGATTAAAGGGTTGTGGAATGACGGTGAAGGCAAGCGACAATGTTACCGTTAAAACACTGGATCCATTTTCGACGCTCGTCTCTCTGACCACCTACATCAAACATACTGGCGGGGGGAAAAAGCTGACTTTACTCTCAACAAATCTGATTTGATTGTGTCAATTCTTTTCAACTGTTTGATTATGTCTTGTTTCTTTCGCAATCAAGTTAGTGTGAGTAGTTCTACCCTTCTTTTTTCCAAAATGTGTACTCACTGAAAATTGACTTTGTCTATTTGAAATCTTGTCTCAAAGATGCCGGACGTCAGCACTCTGCATCTCAGCAGGTCCTGAAACACAGCAACATTGTAACAAGTTGAAAAGATGATTTGAAAAATAACTTCTAAAATGCCACTTCAAGTATTGTTTAAATGCAATGGGGCAAATCTTACAATTCCAAACACTAGTTCCACAATTAGTGGGCAGTGGTCATCATTTACTCCGGCTTCCTCCCATATTCCAAAAACATGCGTGTTAGGCTCATTGAAAACTCCATTGGTGTGAAAGTGAGTGCGAGCGTCTGTGTGTCTCTATGACCCCTTTTCCACCCCAAAAAAACAAACAAACTTGGTGCTTGTTCGGCGCCAGGGCCAGTGCTGTACTTAGTTGGTGCTTAACAACTTCTTTCGAAGAACGTGTTTGGTTTTCCACAGGCAAAGAGCCAAGTAGGAGCTACGTCATTACGTCAGCGCAAAGCGTCCAAACGTCACTGCATACGTCGACGTTTACCCAAGAGTGCCTGCGCTATTAATAATAATAACAATAATAACAGTGATGCACTGTTAGCATTTGCTAGATGATTGCGAGGATGTCTGCAAATCAGAGATCGCATGCTATCTGGGCACATCCACGAATGCTCTTCTGGTGGGACACAATTGTGCCGGCGTTCACCACTCAACAGTTTCTGCAAAATGTCCAAATATCCAGGGAGTCTACTCTTATACATCTGCGATCATCATGATAACCCCGCCCCCCGACGTTGTTGGTGCCAGAATCTGGACCAACAAATAATTGGGGCCAGCTTAAGCACCATATTATTTATATATATATATATATATATATACACACACACACACACACACACACACACACACACACACACACATATATATATATATATATGCAAATACATACATAAATACATACGCACATACATACATGAACATATGAACATGCATGCCTTTGCTAAAAAAAGGTTGGGAAACATAGCAGGATGGCCGCTGTTTGAAGAAATTGGGTATTTAAGAGTGCAAAAATACCCTATTGATCCTTTAAATAACAACTGTTGCCCTTTTTCAACATTCTTACTGAATTAATGAAATAAATCGTTACTTGTCGTTCGATTCAACAATTGCAAATATTAAATATTGATGGTAATCTCACCTGGTCAGTTGGCGTGTAGTCATGTTGTCGAACCACATCGACCCGGTCTAAGAAGCTGCAAGAAAGAGAGCAAAGACAATGGATATTTCATTTGACGGAAAATCTACTGACCATGTTGACAACAGCAAGAGGATGCCCCTTTTCATGATGACCACCAGGGGGCGTTTGCTGTAATTCACAGTGAGATCAGAGGCACCCGCTCTGAGTCACCAGCAGCGCTTCAGCGTCAGAGCAAAGAGAAAAGTCAATGGAGCCGCTGGAGTAAGAGTGCGCGTGTGTTTTGTGGGTGTGTGTACTTTATGAGCCAGGGGTAGGTATGCATGCCTACAATGAATTTAGAATGGCGCCTACCCAGGAATGTGCCACAGAATGTGTGTTAACTCCTTTGACAAGGCGGCGGCTGTTCAGAGACAACGACGACAGCAGTTGCACTAATCGGGCCGGGAGAGATACTGCTGACGAATAAGAGTGCAAAGAAAAAGCCAAACATCAAGTTAATAATCTTGTGAATGTATCCTACCTCCCCGGGAAAAACTATTGTAACATGAAGGAAAACATCCGTCTCAATGCCATCCCGATGCCTGCTGTTCTTCCAGTTAAGAAAAAGGGTCATGACCACCATTTTTGGGGGCAGGTATGCTGAGGTAAACAGGAATGTGGCAGGCAGCGGTGAAATGTGACAAGAGGGTTGCAGGTAGCACACTCGGAAGAAGTCGAGTGAGGGGGTGCTAGGTTAGCCTCGGCTAGCTACTGACCCCCACACCTGAGAGCAGCGGCATTCCAACATTCAATAAAAATCGTATCTTGATGTTTTTTTTTTTTTAAACAAAAAGAATTAAATCCAAATATACTGTACTATAAAATACAATATAATGTACGTTACTGTAAAAGACAACGGAATTGTACTCAACAAACGTAATGTAGTGGAGTAAAACAAACAGGTCACTGTAAAATGATGCACAGCTGGAACATTTAATTAGGTGATTCTTTTGTTTACCACTAGAGGGAGCGCGTATCACATTGGTCGTACTTGCACCACAGTTTGACAACCACAGAACTGGTCAAAGAATCCCATGCTAGATGAGCAACAAAGAACACCTCTCCGTCAAGTATGTTTGTACTTGAATTGGAGCCGATCCCATCACACTTTTGACAAGAGAAGTGGGGTACCCCCTGGACTGGTTGCATGGAGCACAAATAGACCACCACCACATATATATATATATATATATATATAAACCTATGGAAACTTTTAGGATTGTTAATGTACCTAACATGCATGTTTTTTGAATATGGGACCTGTGATGAAGCCCAGACAGAATTTGTAAACAGAAGACAGGAAGGCAAAAGCTCAGATTGGAACCCAGAACCTCAGATTGTGAAGCAAGCATGCCAACCCTGAGCGCGCTGTGTGCTGCCGCGAAAGAACAAACACGATAAAAGCAGCCGGAAAGAAGACACACACATACACATACAAAAAAAGAAGAGGCTCAGCCTCCTTCTGCATTCTTGTTTATCCCAGCCCACACACATGCAGGACAAACACACCTCTCTATTTCCTCTTCTTAACGATTTTTCCTATTAATATCAATATTAGAATCACGGCAGCTGCAGTAAAATAACCATTGAATTGAAACCACAATTAATAAGTCAAATATACTGTACGTGCCAATAAAAGTTGAGTAAACCTCTGACAGAAACAAAAAGGGAGGTGGGGAAAAAGTGACTCATTTAAAAAAAAATTACGTTGTTAATTTGTCAATTGATAAAAGAAATATATAGAATCAATATACATATTCTATTAGAAATAATGAATATATCAATCATAAAATTCAGAAAACAAGTGTGAACATTTTAATCGTAATTATATTAATTAGGGGTTCTAGGAAGGTGTCAACATTGATTCCACTTTAAAGTGTAAATCTCATAAGGACAATGCAACAATGTAGAATGGAAGTAAGCAGTCTTTTATTTCGTAGGCTGTCATTCAAAGGAAATTTGACTGACAATCATTTGAGAAATAAAAAGATTTTGATAATAGACGCGCGCGCGCACACACACACACCACACACACACACACACACACACGGCCTGTGTGTGTGTGAGAGAGAGAGAGAGAGAGAGAGAGAGAGAGAGAGAGAGAGAGAGAGAGAGAGAGAGAGAGAAACAGACAGACAGACAGAAAAAGACAAGAGAGCGAGAGACAGGAGAGCAAGGGAGAAAGAAGTAAAGAAAATAGAGAGGTGGTTGTGTCTAACATTACAGCGCAGCTCCAAAAATAGCTCCCTGGCGCCCTGGCCTCCAGCTTGGTTGTCATAGCGACAGAACCACACGCTATAAATAGACAATCGGCTCCAAATCTTGTGCGACTGGAGTGAGGCCAGCGAGAGGGAGAGACGGGACGAGAACAGGAATGGCGGATAGGGGAAGAAGAATGGAAAGGAGGGAAGCAGCAAAAGCGGCTAATGCTGCACAAATACATAGACAAGAAGAAACAAGATAATAGAAGGGAATATCTGTGTATACAGTACAAGGTCTGGTTTAGGGGATAGAGGCCAAGTCCATCCTCTCTCCTTGCTAGCATGCTGCATCACAGGCACAGGCTGGATTGAAACTACCCAGAGTACCCATTTCTACCTTAATGCCAATATCTTTTTTTTTTCTTTATGCACTGACATTTCAAAGTGACACAAAAAACAAAACAAAAGAAACAACCCACATGTGCAGACATCCAAATTGCATGGAAATAAATCGAAAACATCAAACCTGGAGAGTGGCAACATAGAATAAAATATGACATAGCATTTACTGTAAAATCCTGAAAAAAGTGTGCCTCTGTTGTATGCAAATTTGCAAATTTATTTTTAAAAAATAGATAACTCATATTTTTGTTTGTGTTTTTCTAAACAAAAAAAGTACTATAAAAATACCTTTGAAGCACCGGATTGACAAGCAGTACTGTTCAGAGTAGGATAAGCAGTACTGTTAAGAGTAGAAGTATTGTTAAAATCTTAACGATACCCTTCCCTGTATGAATGAAGATTCCAAATGTATAAATCAAGTGTACATGCTTTCAAATCCAGGTTAAAAGCTATGTTCTTTTCCCATACATATGATTAAGGTCTTTCAAAGTATCTTTAATATAATGTTTTCCCAAAATCTTGTTCTTGCACGATAAATACTTTAGTAAGCGTTTTTTTTTTTTAAAGTTTGACTAGTAAATCTCCAACTCTGTTTGCAATCGCTTTTAAATGTACTTTTAATTCCAGTATATGAAGCATAATGAGTTACATTGTGTATGAACGGTGTTAGAAATCAGTAATTCGATTTTATTTTTTACAAGCCCTTGGTACTGCCAAGGTACTGGTAAACGTCTAAACAATGTGGAAAATGTTTGTATAAAACACAATGTCAAAAAAGGACACCGTTGCCACTGCTGTGAAACACTGCGACTGTGCCCGCTGAATGCACTGAAACCATTACGCACTCAACTGGCACTCAAATACCACTAAGTCTAGCATCTTTGTTGTGTCAACACATCCCTACATGTTTGAGGTGCAAAAATATAACCACATTAAACCTCTGGTGGTTGGAACATATCCTGCCGAGTTGTCACAGAGTTTTCCCACACACCGAAAGGCGCTAGCCAAAAGTTAGCTCACAAGCTAACAGGCTTTGGGAGGCTTGCTCGTCCATGGGGTCAACTTCTCACTTGGTGTTGTGTTAATGACACAACACCAAGCGAGGCGGTCGATCCACATCACAGACACTTCAGGAAAAGTCGACCATTTATAAAATATGGAGGCACACGTCATCAGGTTCATGGCTAACATTACTTAACAGATATTTCTCTTCACACCGGCACCGTTCCAAGTCCTCCTCTCTCCGTGTACCCCTCATCGCCTGGCACAAATTCCTCTGCGTCGCCCACTCCATCTCCATCCTCGACACTCCTTTTCATTCCCTGTTCACCCCCAGCTACATTAATTCACTCTCAAATTGTTATTTGAGCACGTAGTCCCTGCTAATTATATACTTACAATGCTTTGCGTTCCAACATATTTTGATAGTTTGAATAACAAAAAAGAACATTTGGGATTTTAAATAACACTGAGATGTAAATTTCAATAAATTGATCTATAAATTGTGGCATCCAGAGAAGATGCATTTTCAAACTTGTCTATGCTTTCACTGTACTTTAGAATTCCAGCAGGTGTTCTTTTTGTGTTGTTTGTACAAACAAGGGTGTATTTACGTCACTGATCGGTGTATTTCAATTACATCAAGTTTGCATTAACGGGGTATAACGATCCACGTGTTTGTGCGCAGATATCCGATACCCATTGGATTTTTATCCACATTTGGAATAGGCTTGATACCTATGTGAAGATATCCCTTTACATGTGTTTTATTTCTATTTTTGTTGCCTTGATGTCCCAATTGTGACACCTGAGCGCAAAAAAAAAAAAAAAAATGACAACAATAATAATAATAATAATAAAACTGTCACTTGAATCGCTTTAAATCCAGCCTAAAATCTGTGAGGGATTTAGAATTCTTTTTTTCAGGATTTTGGACAAGAACAACTTAAGTTTAACCATCTTTTGGGTAACTGAACAAAAGCTAGTTACTGGAGCAGGAGAACTCTAATATGACAAAAATGACAAAGCCTTTTAGAACATTGGTCTGAACCGAATGAGCATTGTACAGGTATTTGATAATCACCACCTTGAGAACACCAACAGAAATGAACAGACTGTCTAGAAGTAATCGACTAAGTCAAGAAAGTGTTGCAAAATGAAGTGAAGGGCAAGCCTAAGTAGGCCAATCTGAGTCAAAATCAGTGCGAGTGGGAAAAAATTGGGGGTGCGTGACAGCTCCCATGTTGATCAAGGGCGGATGTGTTCATCTAACGGCAACAACCTTCCATCAATAACACCGAGTTTGTCCCTCTCAGGACACACTCGCTCCCTCTTTCTCCTCCTGAAGCCCGCCTGAGCTGAAAATAGCTCTCCCCTCGCTCGTTCGCTCTGCTTCTCCGTTTACATAAGTACACAGAAGGAGGGGTGGGGAGCACACTTCCGGTCTGGCCACCCAGCCCAACATCGGATCCATACAATGGAGAGGAGGAGGAGGAGGCGGAGGAAGAGGAGAGAAGGACGACACAAGACGGAGGAAGAGGAGCAAGGGGAGTGGAGAATTTGGGACTTTATACTGAGCACTGTTTCACTTTTAGATTAAAGCACAAACAAGACATCTGTAAAGTAAGGGTGGGGGGGAACTGAAATAAAAAAGGATTCGCGCACACAGATACAAGTGACTTGACTTTTGAGACGTGAGCTGTTAACTAAAATGTAAAAAAAATTGAAAATTAATTATTTTATTGTTAAAATGAACTATTTTACATGCACACACAATAATCACAGGGATTTTTTTATTTGCAGTAATCCTACAGCACTTGATGTTTCCTCTCCATGATGTGTTTTGTCAGACTTTGGTTTTGTTTTCTTCTATTTTAGTTTCATTTCACTTTTGGAAGTCAACCAGCTTCACAGAACAGACAGTGCTCAAAACACATCCCTGGTGGAGGAAATCACACGCTTAAAGGTGGCATCAATCCTTTCCATTGGCACAGTTTTTTGACAATCTTTTTGGACGAACCTCTGCGGCCGTGCAACGCAGACAAGGACGCGCAAAACACACAAGAGGAACGGAAATTGCCAACCTTGCGTGTGTACACTGTGAGCCTCCGCCCTCAATGTGCTTCATGTGACCAGCGCATGCTCTCATGGGCAGCACAGAGCGGAAACATTTCATTAGCGAATTGTCAAAAGAGGGTAATAAGAGACATAACTGTGACTGTAATATTGTGTAACCCGTTTGTGTAATACGTCTTCAAAGTGTAGAGTGACAAAATAAAAGTGAAGCCAGTGAATAAGTTCCAGAGAGCATGATTCAGCATGTCACATAAACATCCATCCATCCATTTTTATATAGTGCTTGTCCTCACGAAGGTTGCGGGTGGCCCGTACCCTATCTCACAAGACTTTTGGCAAGAGGAGGGATACAGTCTGGACTGGGTCTCACCCAAATGCAAGCTCCATAAATACACTTAAAGACCCTGTAAACTCTCAAACTCAACATATGTGGGGGCTGCTGGAGATAGTCTGTGAGTGTCTAGGCCGCATGAAGTATCCCACAAAAAAGGGGCTCAAGTATTCAAAAAAAAAAAGTACAATGAATGCAATCCTCTCAATCTTTATTGACAGTTCAGAACTTTAACAGTTCCTCAGAACGTGAAAAAGATTGGTGACTTGGTCCTTTCTCGCATCTCCCCGGTACTTTGCATACTCCGCAGCATGTCATGTTGAGTCATGATCATTTCTTTCTCATTGCATTCAAGACATGCTGCGGTGACCGTGGGCTCAACAAAAAATATTCCATCTCCTAATTTTCTTGAAACTGGCTGCTCAACTCCAACTAAGACATGACTGGGACTGGGTGACATGTTATCTTTCCTTCCCTTCCGCCTGCTGTCGCTTCAGAATTACATTTTGCCAAAAGCTGTCATGAGCATGAGCTTTTGTAACCTTTAGTGATTTAATTAAAAACAAACAAACAAAAAAAAACAAAGGGGCAGCGACACTGCATGTGACTTGACTTTTGTGACGATGACAACCTGGGCGGAGCTAGGGGGTTGTGATGAGGCGAGCGGCAACTACTGAATAAAAGTGAGTGTCCATAAAGCGACCCAATTCTTTATATAAATGTGTGAACGATTTATCTGTGTGTAATGCATAATTCTTAGTTGATCAGAAAGTCTTTGTTATTGGGTGGATGGAAACCCTTTGTCTATTTTTAACTAAAACTGAGGAAAAACTACACTAAAACCTTGTGGGTTATTTGTCGAGTAAAACCTTTTTGAGTTTTCGTTGACTAAAACTATCATGAATAGCAATGACTAAAATGTGACCAAAAAAAAAATATATATCAGCATTTTTGCCCAAAAGACTAAGTCCAAATCGTCTGCCAAAAACAACACTGATGGCAAACTGAACTAACTGAACTGCTTGGTGGAAAGGAGTCTTATGTTGATGAATAGTTGTCACCTTTTCGCTCGGACAAACTAGTCCAAACAAACAGTCCATCATAGTCAAGGTGGCACCGCACTCATGGCCGTACTAATGAACCTTGACTTCACGCTTATGCAAACCAGGCAGCCAAACACATTGCAGTGCGTAGGTGGAGTGGAAGTTGTGCAGAAGCAAAACTTACTACTGCGCACAATCGATGAGCTGATATTCATTGGACCGTTCCCAGCAGGCCCGCACGCCGTCGTCCTGCCAGAGGATCTTTGAGTGGTCATAAAACTCCTGTAAAGAGAGAGGGAGAATAAAAGAAAGAGGGTCTGGATCAATGAGGTGAAAATGACTGCAAGCAGGGTTGACATTGTAGGGCCCCATATTTAGACTTATTAGACAGAGGCTGCGTCCATCTGAGTCTGGAGCCAATGGGAGAGGAGCGGGGCTCTGGCAGCGGCAGGAAGCAAAACAGTTCATTGGGTTCATGAAGAAACCAAGAGCTTTGTGCTGACACAAAGCTGGGCTGTCACTGAGGAAGGGTCTATCTCTTCGCGATGATCTTTAGATGCTCACTTACGATGCGGGGGCAGCACAATTAAGCCATTTTGAGCCCAAGCACTCGTGTGCAAAAAAAAAGACTATGATTAAAGGCACTTTTTGCAAGTGTGGCAGTATTCTTCGCCATGTACTGGCAATACTACGGTTCCCCAATATACAACTACGACAAAAGTACCACGATACCTTACATTAAAAACATGTTAATTGATACCACACATTTTTACTTGAGGTACTTCTGCACCGTTTGGCAGAAAGTGAATGTGTCTCGGATGAACTTCTCAAAAGCCAGATGAGCAACCAGGCTTTGCCGTGTTAAGTCTCTAGCAGAACAACGGCATGGCATGTGTCGGGGGGACATCACCTGAAGCAGCTAAGGAAGACATAAATCTCATCTTAAAATAGGCTACAACTCCGAGTTGAAGTTTAGTCAATAAAAATAACAACTTATTAAAAAAAAAAAAAGAACATTATACACAGCCTTCGTGGCAAAATGCTTGAGTATTTACTTACAATTATTGTTCTGGTTCACTGTCATTTCAATGTCAACCATGTCAGTAATAATTTCACTTAAGTTTGGCGCTAAGCGATTTTTCACCGTCTGAAAGCATCTGCTTGTTTTAAGAAGAAGAAAAAAAACCCATCTAAATTCTGTGCACTTTATCTCGCCGTCCCTCCCTCGCTTAAAAGCAGGGTCAACCGGTTCAACTGGTTTCCAGTAGGCCCTCAGGACATGCAAGGGGGGAAGCAGGGTGAGGGGGAATGGTGGGTGTGAGAGAGAGAGAGAGAGAGAGAGAGAGAGAGAGAGAGAGAGAGAGAGAGAGAGAGAGAGAGAGAGAGAGAGAGAGAGAGAGAGAGAGAGAGAGAGAGAGAGAGAGAAAGAAAGAGAGAAAAAGAGAGAGAAAGCGATAATCCAGCCCAATCTAATGGATCACTTCCGACACGCATTTGCCACAATACTGTAAATGTTGAAAGTTCAATTAAAAATGCTATTTTTTTTTAACCTCCTCGAACTCTCCACAATACATTTCACCGATCAGAAATTCAAGCATTGTAAAAGCGTTATCATTAGCTTTCCAGTTGAGACCCATCATCATAAAACCGCACAATACAATGACGTTGCAGACACGGCATCATCTTCGCCTTGCTTACACACCAACGTACGCACACATCAATGGAAACTATGCTCATGAGAACACGTATGACTCATTTGAATGCACTGGTGTTCAAACAATTTTTCCAGTACCAGCAGTGGTCAACTGTTTCTGGGGGGGGGAAAAAAAAGCCTCAAAAGTATGACAAATCCATCCTTCAAAATGCTTGACGTCGCAAACCAGAGGGAGACTTCAGCTCAGCCGACTGTGTTAAAAACAGTATCAATCTTTTTTTTCCTGTGATACAACCACACACAGAAAGGTACCAGTCACGGCAAAGAGGATAAATGCAAATAAAACTGAAGGACAAGAAATAGAATTTGATAACATACACAATATTTACCGGAATATTCTAGTTGCTTATTTTGCAACGCAATTCTGCAACGCAATTCTGTGGTAGCAGCACATTTTTATGTGCAGAGAAACAGCAGTGGCAGGCCTATTTTTTTATAGTTGCTACGTAACAGCTGTGGTATTAGAAGTAAATTAATCCTTTCGTGCACCCTGTAATCTGATAACATAATAAATGGTCCACTGTAGTAACCGCTGTCTCTGAAAGGGTTAAATTGGCTAGGTCCCCACACTGAAGGTTCAGGTAGCATAGCATGATATACATCGCTCGCTACAAATTTTCAGCTCTGTTCGTGTTCATTTTGTTTTTTGGTTGATCTGGTGTGGTTACACTGGAGATTAGTAAAATCTATTCGTCCAATCGATATAACGTTTGTCCTCAATAGGTTCGCAGTTGAGCCGAAGCCGATTTCAGGTTATTTGGACTGCAATAAAGGGGGTGTGTCCTGGACTAGTTCTGAACCAATCGCAGGTTTGGTCAAATTTCTTAAAACAAATCAGAGAAAAATACAGCTCTAGTATTGCACAATATTTTGGAATTCTAAAAATGCACCTCAATCAACACGCAAAATTTCTGAGAGAAACCAAATCCAAGAAATATGCTGTCCGCTGCAAAAGTCACACAGAACTTTAACTTCACTGATGATCTGATCTGGTTCATCCTTTTCGGGTAACCCATACAAATCATAAACAAGCCACCACGTGCTCTCGCTCGCAGGCACAGGTGTAAAACCGATGCTCACTGGAGGAATCCCTTAAATCCCTTAAGTGGTGTTTATAGGAGCTCTCAGGTGAGAAGACAGCCTCCACCAGCACCTATTAATTTGAGCATCACACACAGGGGAGAGACTGCCTGACTCACCTGTGGCACACCTGGTCTACGACCTGCATGCCATCACCACTTTGGAGAATCATTTTCAGATTTATTCTTTTATTTTTTTCTTGGCTCTGAAATGGAGGGTCGTAGGTTTGAGGCTTGCTCCACATTGCCATTAGTTTTAGGACACTTTGAGCGTTTGATTAAGTTTCCAGCATGTGATATGAATGGAGTGGTCATTTTCTTCTATGAAATAAAAATATTAAATTATACTCTATATTTTAAAACCCTTTTTCTACAAAGTGTGAACAAATAACGCCTCGAGCTTTGCGTCACAAATGTAGATATATGAGAATTTAATTTCTTGATTTGCATTTTTTGACAATACGCCCAGACTTTGGGGACACAGACGTTGCAAACTCTTCTCCTTGTCGTGCTTACAGAAGTGAAAGATTTGTTGAACATGTTACACAAATAATACACACTGTCAACAGCAGGAGCTTCTGATCGCTTCCTAATTTGCTGTCATTCCATGTCACATCACAATCACAGAGTCTGTGATCATCTTTGAGACATCTGGAAATGAGTCCTTTGTTGATTTCAATCGGGAGGACAGAAAAATAAAATGCTCAAATTCAGCCGATGTGTTAAACATGATTGTCGGCCTTCACCATTTTACGAGCAGAATGGGGAAGAAAAATATCTCTCAACACATCACACGCCACAGGATAAATGGCTCAGGATAATCGAACAATCTGGCCTTTGCTGAGTGAACGAAAACGGGGTAAATGCTCAAATTTGTCCCAATTATCGGTTTTGTAGCCCCGCTGGTTTGGTTGTGCTTACCGACGAAAACTCGAAATCCTTCTGGTTGATTTGGTGGAGGACGTAGTCGATGCGCGGCTGGTTAGCAGGGCAGGCAAGCTTGCACGGTGGCGTGAGTGTACTCATGGCGGACACGATGGTCTGGGTGGGGGACAGCCAAAGGTCATCTTTAGATTGAAATTCTCAACGTAGTCAACACGCTTGTCTTACCTCTATAGCTTCTTTAATGTTGTTTTTGATATCATGTATTTTCTGCTTTTTCTCCCTGTGACCAAAACACAAAACAATGTCATGATAATCTTCCCCAGTCACACAAAAACACAGTACATTTACTCCAATTCTAACGTCTTTTATTCTAAACGCTTGCTTGCTTGATGTTGCAAAGAATGCACTGATATCAATAGTATACGTGTGCACTCGATCATATGACACAGATACCATTTTACCAGCCCGGGACAACAACAAAAACATCGACTGAAAATGATGCCCCGCAAAAGAACTGAAATGCCGTGAGTTACAGGTTACATTCAAGTAAAACATGTGGCGAGGCTGTTCGAAAAACATGCATTTGAATGCCTTGTCAGGAATGACAAATGGTTAGTCTAAGACAGTGGCCCCCAACTATCGGTCAGCGGACAGCCGCAGAGGTTGTACTTTTTGTAGTGGAGCACGTCCTGATCGGGAATGTCCCACATCACGACCCCCCCAAAAACACTTGTTGATTTGTTTCTGATCAAGAATTTACATCAGCTGATGTCATTAACTGTGCATGTTTGCACTGCTTAAAAAGCAAGTGTCAGAAATGGTAGTTATGATAGTAAGTAGAAGTAGAGATGGAATGATTAACGGTTTACAAATAAACAGGGGAAAAAAATTATACTTGGTCATATTTAATACTGTATAATACAAATAACAGCATATTCTGCATTTTTTTTTTCTGCTGTAACCGCTTTGTGTTTAAAAAGTCTGCTTTTGGCTTTTTCGGTGTGAACTTCCATTTTTGTTGCATTCCCAAGTGACATGCTAGGATTCTCAGTCCGAGAAAACAATCCGCACTTCAACTTGACGCCAAAGCAGAAAGCCCGGGTGGCGTGGCTTGTGGGGAGGGGCGCATGATGAGGCTTACTTTAGCTTTCGAGGAAAGCGACGATGAAAAATAGAAAGAAAAAATAAAAGACTTTTGTTTCTGCTGCACCGATGTGATTTGGAGTTTGAGGAACCTCACAAGATAAGGATGAGCTGGGTTTGACCTGCGGCGGGGTTTGCGGGAAAACGCAAAGAAATAGGGCTTTCTTCTCAGCTCATGCTAACTTTATCTGTTCACTCCGGAACATTTGACGTAACTACGATGATGCTGGCATGAAGACAAGCAAGAATTAATTATTTCATATAAGCCCTACATAGGTTACATAAGGCTTATATCATCACAAAAGACAACACAGTGATACTTGTGATGACTTCTTGGACTGCAATAACGTCGTCTCTGTCATACTCAAGTCTCTGTCTTTCAGGCAGACAGCTTTGAAATCTTGTAGATTTTCCACATGCTTGTAAAAAGCTGAATCTCATTTCCATTATTTTCAATGCCATTCCTGATCGGCCACTTCAGCATCCCTTTCCGGTTGTGTTAGCGTTCATGTCATGACTAACGTAACAGTTTATTTATTTATTTATTTATTTATTTATTTTTTTTACATTTTGACTAGTTTTAAACAGATTGAAACGATCAGCGCATTTCCCAAGATGATCTGTTTGACTTGAAAGCAGGGCTGAGCAATTAATGAAATTCAAATCAAAATCACAACGTAGTAGAATGCAATTTTCAAATCGCAAAAGCTGCAATGATTTTGTGAGGGGAAAAAAAATGCTTCATTTCGGTCATTTGGTTGGTTTCATTTGTTACTGTTTTTTATTTATTGCTTTATGTCTTTACCTATTGTCGAGACAAGTTCAGTGCTGCAAGAAGTGCGGTCCGCATTCACTTATTGTTTCATAAAACATGAAAAGTTTTCAGTGATAATGCTACAGAGTGGTTTGCATTACATTATTGTTGTAATCTGACGTACGATTTACAGATTTAAATTTATGCCGCACTTGTTTGGTGGAATTTTGTGACGTTGTCATAGTGAATGCTGAAAAGACGCCAAGTCCAAGTGTTGAGTAAATAACAACTCTACTTGAAGAAGACAAACTGACTTTCATATTAAAACATGGTTCATTTGCCTTTATTTTCCAAAAAGTCTACCTAATAAAATCAAAAGATCTATTTATTTGAAGTCAAGCTGACCCTTATTGTAATAGAGATTAATGTATTGCTTGTGTTTGTTAAAAAACATACATGGGAAGAGGACATTGAAAAAAATAATTGCATATTAAGTTGCAATCACAATAATGGGGAAGGAATCCTAATCAGATTGCTTTTCAAAATCCTTCAGGCCTACTTAACAGGGAATTTCAACTTTGTGAAATAAAGACCTTCACCTGCTTTATATTGACAATCGTCATGTGGATTTTTGAGAATGTCAAATCAGAGTACATAGCCAATCTTTCTCTTAAGCATCATGCAATTTTCTAGCTAGGAAAAAAAAGTCACACAAGATGCAAGCAAGAAATAAAGCATTATTGTCGTAAGTGAATACAACTTACTCCGCATTGAAGCCATCGACGTGCAATATTCGCATTTGCTTGACTATCGTGCTCTTCCCGGATTCGCCAGCCCCTGGAAACAGGAAGAGGACCATGAAAGTCAAGACTGGGAGAATGTGAAACTCAGATCGAGACGGTTGGTCTGCAATGTGCGGTGGGGTGGAAAGGGACATGATAATTAGGGATGTCACAGCATGCACGGTTTTCAAAGTGCCTCAAAATCATCATGGTATTGTTTCTGTACATAATAATGAAAAGTGATAGTAATCGAGCGCCTCTAATCACTATACAGTCACCCGATTGGCTGTCTAACCCATGTGACTTTGTGACCGCATCACATGAAATACATTGACCCAGGAGACATTGCTTCCAGGAGCTATGTGAACACAAAAGCCATCCGCGAGCGCAAAATGGTGTACACCAGTGTGTACATTTTCTTCATCTTATTATTTTATGTTATGTTATGTGTTCTGATGCATTGTTATTTTATGCGAAATGTTTTGTAAAGCGCTTTGTTACGGCTGCAGCTGTTGTGAAAGCGCGACTTAAAGATGTATGGAAAAAAAAAGAGAGAGAGAGAGAGAGAGAGAGAGAGAGAGAGAGAGAGAGAGAGAGAGAGAGAGAGAGAGAGAGAGATTATAAAGTGATAGTAATCGAGCGCCTCTAATCACTATACAGTCACCCGATTGGCTGTCTAACCCATGTGACTTTGTGACCGCATCACATGAAATACATTGACCCAGGAGACATTGCTTCCAGGAGCTATGTGAACACAACAGCCAACCGTGAGCGCAAAATGCTGTACACCAGTGTGTACATTTTCATCTTATTGTTTTATGTTGTTATTTTATGTGAAATGTTTTGTAAAGCGCTTTGTTACGGCTGCAGCTGTTGTGAAAGCGCGACTTAAAGATGTATTGTCTGAAAAAAAAAGAGAGAGAGAGAGAGAGAGAGAAAGAGAGAGAGAGAGAGAGAGAGAGCGAGAGAGAGAGAGAGAGAGAGAGAGAGAGAGAGAGAGATAATTTAAATGGAAGGACGCACGGATTATAGACACTTCGAATGCTCTTGGCTCTGTCCCAGGACTACACCTGTCTGAGTGAGACTTTGCAGTCGATTGGGTGAGCGGAGTCCCTCACGCCGGCATGTGGCTGCCACTTGCCCTCGTCTGAACTGGAAAAGTGACTGTTGGACCTCGGCATTATTATGATTTTGCCGACGGATGGCGGTGCTTGTGGAAAAACAAGGAGATGGACGCGTGCATAGGCATTCCTTGTAGCATCACTTTCAGACAATCAGATGACAGTGACGACGACAGCTCGACTCGGTCCCAGACAGCCGGCGTTTTAGAACCACGTCTGAGATAGTTCTCAAAAGCATTTCCATTGTATCTGCGCGGCCCTGAAAATGCCTCATGAAAAGGCGACCACTTGGGGCCAAGCAAGTCCGTCTTGGTGTGGAAATGGATTAATGGAAATGCCACACATTTTTCCACAGTTTTATCCATAACAGATCAAAATGAGTCTGACATCTACAATGAGTTGTCTCCTCAACTTCTACTGTTTACATCTTTCTTCTGTTTTTTTATACGCTGTGAAGAAGCGGAAAGCCAGCTACTATTCTCAGAGACGCTAATCACGCTAAGAACCATAAACACGATTTGAAGGGGTAATCCTAAAAGTTGGGAATTTTAGCCTGGTTTATCATGAACTGCTTCATCCCGACTTGTCAGGTAAAGTGTGATCCTCGATGCGTTTCCGGCCTGTTTCATAGAATGCATCCAACATTCTTTTTGTCTTCTACAGTTCCTATCTTCTTCTTTTGCCCTTTTTTTTTTTTTTTTTTTGCTGTTCCAGCATGCACCAGAAGGACGAAGCCAAAAGTCAACTACTACCATCGGAGACGCCACCGTTTGGACCGTAAATACAAATTGACACGGAAATAGTAGACCGCTTCATCCCTACTTGTCAGTCATCTACAATTGCTCTCAATTTAACATGACTTCATACTGCTGTAAAACTTCATACTGCTGTCCCGGCACTACAACTGAGAATACCCTGACACATAGATGCTGTCCTGCCCCTCTTACGGCTCTGATAATTTAACTCAGAGCACTAAAATTGCTGGATCAATGATGCCCCCCCCCCACACCCCCTCCAACTACTACTCTCAAAAATGCTAAATACAGTATTAACGTTGAACAGTTTGAAACAGTAATAGTAGACCATTTCATCCCTACTTGTCAGGAAGCTACAATTGCTATCAACACAACAGGGACGAAGTGTGAAACTTCATACAGTAACAAATACCCTCACACACACACAGTAATGTCCTTTCTGCCCGGACATCTGAGCCATGTCATCTTCGTCTTTTTCTGTGGGTCCCTTTTTTTAATGAATAAAGTATCTATCTGTCGATCGATGTATCTACATTCTCCACTTAAATATTGGGGCATGCACTGGAGGGGAGGAATGGAAATGCCTACTACTCTCAGAGACGCTGAATAATCCATGTCCCGGCATTCCAGAATACCCATACACACACAGGTCCCTTTCTGCCTCTATCACGGCCCTGACAGTACCTCTGAAGGCTGAATATACCTGACAACCGCAGATTTTAAAAATGCTGGGAGATCTTTAAAGTATTTCAGTAATCATAGAGAAAGTGACAGCAACATCTCTTACTGTGGACTCTTTGGCAGGGAGTCCTGCTATTAGTGAGAGTCAGACACCCAAATCCAAGATCAATTTCAGATTAGGACATACAGGACTCGACTAATCCCAAAATGAACCCTAATTTGCCTGCAGTCCAAGTAGATTAGTGGGACAGCATCCTCGGCGTGGAAGATTACACTCTACAGTGGAATATGTGGACCTCGGTGATGGTGAGGGACTATTTTATCTGGGGAACAAAATGACCAGTAATAAAGCTTGGGGGTTGGTGACCTACGGTGTCAAAGCAGGATCATCAAGTTGTCCACCACAGAGTCACTGCTATTGCATTTGTATCAACCCTAAACAAGAACACGCAGCGAGGAGCACATTTGATGAACAAGCTCACCTAGTAGGAGAAGCCGATGAGTGGCACGGTATAGCTGTTTGTCTTTCTGAAGCTGCTTCTCAATTTTCTTGTTGGCTTCCCTCTGGGCCTTCTCCTCGTTCCGTTGGTCTTCCGTCTTGCTGTTGCCGAGACAGCCCATCTTCCCTCCCGCGGCCCCCCCAAAAAAACACAAACAAAAAGACCCCAGGGGGGAGGTAGGGTGGGCAAAGTGGGGAAAGGTAAGGTGAGGAAAATGGATCCTAAATTCCAAGACAGGCCCAAGAGTGAAAGACCCGTCTTAGAACGGGAGGCATCGATGGGGATGGTGGATGGATGGATGGAAGTGGCTATTTACTGGCAACAAGAGTCAGGAAGGACAGCAGCGCCGTGTTTCCACTATAAATCGGCAATGAAGTCATCAACGCTGCTACGAGAGGATGTGAAATGGACATGGATGAAGACACACACCACCACTTTCCTCTCGATTTTGCCTTAATTTTCTTGGCAAATCATCTTGGTTCGATCCTTGTTTTGGAGAGGGTGGGTGACTTCTGTACAATAAGTTGACATTTCCTCTTGGGGCTTCACTGGAGCGTGTCGTCGTAATTCCCGTTTTTTTTAATGTTCTTTTATTTGGATTATTTATTTTTAGATCCTCTCAGCGTAAAACATCCAAGAAGACCCCTGCCCCCCGAAAAAGGCCCCCTTCTCCGCCGTCCTTTTCCCTCGCTCTCCGCTCCCCCGTCACGTTAAATGCTCGTTTCTCCTCACATCGGCGGTGGGGTTTTTTTCTTCTCCCCTTCTCTCAATTCATTCAGCAGCTGCGTGTCCCTGAATGCAGCTCGACGTCCAGGTGTTTTACGGATGGCAATCCCCACCTTGTCAAGTTAGCTCGGCGGCTCGTACTCTCCCGCTGCTGGAAGGTGGTTACATGTGCATCAGACATGGAACCTTACCGCCGTGTTTTCAAGCCCTCATCCTAGCGTAGACGGCTTTTGGGGGGGAAGGTGGCTGTCGTTGTTTGTTACAGCCGAGCTTATCTGCCTGTCTGCCTGTTGCCGGGGACCGCTGGCGTTTTTAGACACGTAACTGTTCCACGGCGGCGTCGCTCCGCGTTATTTGTGTTGTGCACCCTTTTTTTTCCTCGGAGAATTGCACATTGAGATAGATAGCGTTGAAGAGGTGGGGTGGGGCAAACCCGCTCTCACGGAGCCCTGGGAACGACGGACAGCGGTCAAGTAGTATGGATTGCAGACATAAAGTTCCGGCTCTGCTTTTCACACTAAAACCAATTTATTGTTCTTTCACCTCCCCTACTTCAGATTTTTTCGTCCTCACTCTGCCTGGGATATTCTAGCATTAGTAAAATGGAAATTTTACAAAACGGAAATATTATTTTTGCAATTAATTTTATTGTAATTACATTAAACATAGTGGCATAGCGGTTAGTAGACTTAACACAGATCTGATCAACTGGATGACATCGCCAGATCCATCCATCCATCCATCCATTTTCTAATAATCTTTTCCTTACGAGTGTCGCGGGCGTGGTGAAGCCTGTCCCAGCTGTCTTCGGGCAGTACCCACCCTGAACTGGTTGCCAGCCAATAGCAGGGCACATGCAAACTTCACACAGAAAAGCCGGAGCCGGAATCGAACCCTACACCTCTGTGATGTGAGGTGCCCATGCTAACCAGTGGAACACTGTGCCGCCTAGATCAGCAGATATTTTGAATTTTATGCAAAAGCGGTTATCAGTTGTCATGTAATTTGCCAAATTAATGATCAATTACGTCATTTCCCTGGTTCACAAAATAAGACAATACAGTTCACTCCAGGGACATTCTGGCAGCAGTTTGTTAATAATCCAAGGTTTCTCATCAGATACAGTCGGAATTTTATTTCATTTCGTACTGAATGTTCATCAGCCTTTTGGGGAAACTTTTTAGGGTACAACTGTTATCTTTTCCAGGGTATTTCAATGACGTTATTGATCACTTTATGGTCACGAACAATCGTTTCAGTTGATCGAGACAATAGACGAATAAATATATGATGTAGAAAGTTTATTCTGTTGTGCATTAAAACAGTAAGTTTTGGTTTGTGCTCATGGTGAACAACAATACAGTCAACAAAAAGCAACTCAGGCGTCATCTAGTGGCCACATATTTGTAGAGCTTTTGCGGACACCCTGTATATTATGAGGCAGCATTGGAACTAGTGTTAGTACATCTGCCTCACACTTTCTCTAGGCTTCTTAGCATAGTAGGTAATTGAAGACACATCATTGTTTCATTTTGATGATTCGCCATGAAAAAGAGTTTTTTTTTTTTGAACAGACATGTCATGTCTGTACTTTTACTTGAATTAAAATACTTGAATAAGTACTTTATTCTTTACCAGAAATATTTTTACACAGGTATATGTATTTCAACAATAAATGAAGTATCTAAAGTCCAAGCTGTGCTTCATTTTACGACACTTGCTTTTGTTTTGAAGTGACGCTTCTACTGTTTCCAGTTTTGTCTTACTTTGACTTGACATATCTGGAATCAAGCAGGGTTTGAACCACGTGATTGATTACCCTGAGTGTCGCTGTGCCGGAGGTCCACAAGGGGAGACGAGCCCCCTTTTGAAGTCCTTCTCTTGTCAACCTACTCATACACAATGTATCAATCAATAACCACCAACTTGTAAAAATGTTTTTAACTTAACCCATTCAACGTTAGCTGTTATCAAAGGAGAGTTCTCCATATTGCCAGCCGATTTGGAATGTTTGCTTCTACTTTTTTGTTTTCTTTAGTAGTCAGTAGTGCAATGGGTTGGGTTCACCAAAACCAACTCTTTCTGACCAAAAAGATTTTGTGAAATGACACGTCAAGCTGAAAAGTGACTTTGACACAAAATTTGTGACACCCAAAATTATTCAACATGAACAAAACTGAGAGAAACCACCTTTGATGGCAATATTCTAATTTATGTACAGATTTACAACTATGAAATGTGTGGCGAGAGACTGGATGTCTCGTCAGTGGTTTTTTTACAGGGCATTCAACATTTACTCATGAACAGCATCACATTTTCTCACAATTTCACTTTCTAGTGACTATCACAACACGAACATTATGTCATACATATACATACAGTACTATGTTCAAGTGCTAAGTGTCTTGCCATCATTTGCAAGGACCTGAAATGGAGGAATGCATATGTCATAGATGTGGCATTTTTAATTTGACTAAAATCACAACCTGACCCACTTTTCAAAAATCCAAGACACGCATCTTTGACTTCCTTTGTGTTTTATCAAATCAAAAGAGAGAAAACCCGTGCAGTTGCATTGATGTAAACTGAATACAATCCATCACTTTTGCAAAACATTTATTACATTTTTTAATGGTAATGCTTAAAAAAGACATGATGGAAAATGCATTTTTTTTGATGGCTTGTATAATAGTAGTTGGGTCTCAAGGGTGTCTGCCTATTCAACAAATTGACATACCAAGTATATTTAATCTGCCTTTTTCTGAAAATGTCTTGCTGAGGAAACCAATTTGTGACATCATTGCTGATTTACAGGCTCCAAGACTTGCCATTTTGAAGTAATGGCTGGAGTTCACCTGTACAAGAACACACTTATGTCAATGGGAAAAGATAAGCAGAGCTGCAGTATTATTTTCGACTGATGTTAGGTAACAGTGTTACTTGTTAGTTCTTAATAAGCAGCACATATTTGAATGTTCACCTTAATTGTCAACATGGGATTGGGAGGTGCGGCACAGTGGTCTGCACGGGTTTTCTCTGGGTACTCCGGTTTCCTCCCACATTCCAAAGCACATGGCAGGTTAATGGAGCATTCTAAATTGTCCCTAAATGATCTGTGATTTTTTTAAAAAATGATACTCTCTGACCCCATGTTGCACCTCTAATTTGATTTGCAAGAAACCACCGCGGCTGTGGAAAAACAACCAATCAAAGAGAGTAACTGACAGGTGTCAATCATTTGGTGAGTGAAGGCACACCCTCTGCAACTGACCAATTGCATTGGGTTTCAGAACTTTTCCAAGATTGTGGTAGAAAACCATGCTCACCCGTCATTTGCCGACTGGGAAAAAGATAGCAAACAGAAGTAAGGACCTCAGGGAGCTGAGAGGAATCAGAAGTGATGTGAAAATTATTTCTTTTTGACAGGTACACTGATTGTATATTGCTCAAAAATAAAAGTTCAAACCAATCAATTCAGAGTTATATTAACACTTCATTAGAAATACATCATCAAACCAGGCCAGCCGCCATGGCTGATGTTCGCTGGTCTGCACTGCTAATGCTAGCTTAGTATTGCTAATGCAGCTATTTTCCTGAGGCTGGATATGCATTATCAAAACCATGCACTGTCAGAATTGTATGCCAGGTTTGATAATGATGCTCATAAATGTTTATGAAGGATACAGTTTAGGTCAGAAACAGGAGGAGGGAGAGATTAGTTAAATGAAGCTACATAGAAATTTTGCTAGCAGTTTTAACTGCAAACAGACCTTTAAGACACCTGAGAAGTGTGTGAAATTGTGAAAAATGTAAATACTGTAATGTGTCTCCTCTAAGTCACATTTTAACAAAGACAATAATGTTGTGTAACAAAATTAAAAGTACATTTGTTTGAGCCTGACACACACGAATGAAAACAAAGTACAGAAAGGTGTTTGTGTAGAGCATCACTGTCACCTACGGGAGTTTTGTATGTATTGCTATAATTAATAAAGCTTTGTGACTGTATCGCAAATTAATTGTAAATTTCTCATTATGTACCAAACTAATTGTAAATTTCTCATCCACTGAACAGGTAAACCTTTCCTATGGTCACAGTTGAGTTCCATTTCCGGTTCTATGATTCAACTTTTTTTTTTTTTGCACTCTTCCAAAAGTTGCCTAAGATTTGTCAGCTAGGTTTCACTTAGGTCATCCAGAAAGCATACATCACACGTGAGCTTTCCACACAAAGTTAGTCAAACCAGACAAGAGACACACATGCACACATACACACAAAAATGGATCAAGAAGTAAAAGGAAGGAGCTCGGGGCAAAACACATAAAGGTCAGTGTAGATGAGTTGTGCAGCTGGCGAATTATCCCCGCTGCAGACAGTTGAGGGAGGGAGTCATGATGCAACTCACTAAGGTGACAAAATGTTATCTAAAGGCTGAGGAACACACACGTGATACCACAGAACAGCTGAGGGTCGTTTGGTTAAGCAATTAAAAAAAAAAACTAAAAAAAAAAGGAAAAAAAAATTCCAGCATCCAAGCTGTTCTAAAAATGCAATAAATTTGATGGTTAAATGGTCTGCATTGTAACTCTATTGGCCCAGGGGTGTCAAATTCATTTTGGTCAGAGTCCACTTTGTAGTTACAGCTTCCTTCAGAGGGCCGCTATGATGGTGAAAACAAAACAATGTTTATTCGTCTCATCGTATTATTGCACAACATATTGATAGATTACTAGTTTTGCAAGCAAAAGTCAAGGATAGTAATTTATACAATTATAGTTCAAAGTACTGTAAAAGGGTAACAACAAAATATTGCAAAATCTCAGTATTATTTATTACACATGACAATTTAAAATTTGGGGATAGATTTTATCAGGGGTCATGAAGTTGACATATGATTTGCTTTTGCGGGCCATGTAAAATGATGTGGAGGGCCGGATGTGGCCTCTGGGCCTTGAGTTGTACACCTGTGGCATAGGCCACGTTTCAAGGAGTATTTTAACATTCCAAGGTATCATAGTAGAAGAATAAGTTGTTTGACATAACTGAAATACACGAAAACTGTTGACTCCATCTTTAAAAATCCCAGGTAGACGTCGATAGAAAACAAGGATCCTGTCACCTCGTGTTATGTTTGTGTCAGCAGGTAGGCAAGAAACACTTCTTGTGCTTTCTCCTGTGCCTGAAAGTGAGGATAATATGAACAGAAATGCCTAGACAGGAATACCAATAACGCTATTGGTCTATATCAGAAATTCACAATGTGCAAATTTGAAATGGGAGCTGCTAGTGGTGTGACACCCCCCCGACACACACACACACACACACACACACACACACACACACACACACACACACACACACACAAAAAAAACACTCCCTCCCTCCTTGACATCAATGATGACATCACTGGTCATTACATATAACCAGTTCGAGCCCTCTGGCGTATCAGAGGCACCCACCCGCTAAAACAACTGCA